GTTAAGATGGACGGAAGCCGCGAAGGTGGAGGGGGGAGTACCCTGGCATGCGGCGGTGCTGCAGGGAGCTGAGAGGTTCATGACCTCCTGGCACGAGAAGGAAGAAGAGGCCAGCCGACAACGAGCGCTCAAACGAAACCACAAGCCAACGACCAATGGGGCGGGAGGGGGGCAGGAGACGGACGAGACGGCGAGGGAAGAAAGCAAACGAGAAGAGACGGACCGAGTGGCACGACACGTGCCGGATTGAATTTATTTTCGCCAATTCCCCCGCCCCAACGCTGCACCATTGCACCAACCCCCCAGTAGTGATTTCGTACCATTACAATGTATCGCTGGTTGGTGGCCATGTTTGCGTGTTTGCTTGTTCGTTAGTGGTCTCTCCACCGTGTGCCTTGCTCTGCCTCATACTTACTTCTTGTTATTTTCAGCCTGGTCCCTCTTTGTCCTCGCCCTTTTTCATTTTATTTTCATTTTATTTCTATTTTCTCTTCTCCTTACGGTTTCCATTTTTCTCTTTTTTCTCTTTTTTCTCTCTTTTTTTCTCTCTTTTTCTGTGCCAGATGTCCTTGTCTCTGCTTGCGTTGTGAAGTACCAAGATTGAACCAAGGGGGTGTACCTCTTTCTCTCCGGCCCATGATAGATAGTGACTGCTAGTCTCAGTTGATACCTCGCATAGCGCGAAGAGGGAGTGGAGGATTCCAGAATATCTGTCGTTGATTTCTGTTGACTTGCGGACCCCTCGGGGCCAGTTTTATTTGAGTGTACCTTTTTGAGGGTAAGTTAACCTGTGACCACGGGAATCGACCGCGTCGAGTGTTGGATCAGTACGGACATACGAAGGTACTGGGTAGAGAGAGATGGGAACGGTTTTTAATGGGAAGACAACAACAACAACAACAACAACAACAACAACAACAACAACAACAAGTGTTTGGGGCCCCAAAAATCCCCCGGAACCCCCCCCCCCCGGTAGCAAAACGGTTAAAATATTTGGTTGTATTTGGGTTTAGCGCCCTCCCCTAAAAAGGGGCCCCGTTTTGTGGGAACCCTGGGGGCCGCTCCCCCCCCCCCCCCCCCCCCCCCACTGTATTCAGTTCCGGGGGAAGGAAGAGAGCGTGCGTGATACAGCAGTGGAGGGCCCTCAACAACGCCCGGCGCCTTATTTTTTTTAGGGACCGGCCATGCAATATTCAATATTTTTAATAGTAACTTGGCTGCGCCCAGCGATTTCACCCGGGCTATATGCATACGGCAACCGGCGCTAACAAACCGGTGTTCTCGACGCCCCCCCTCCACTGCAACGCCCACCGTTGGAACTTTTTTTTTTTTGTTCAACAGG